ATCAGAGTAAAAAACAAATCATGAGATGTGAAACACTGTGGATGCGATGCAATCACGTCGAGCTCTTCCCCTTCGAACCAGGAGTACCTAAAAATATAAGCATGAAATGTTAAGAAAAAAGCTTAGTGAGTTCCCCCAAAATAGCAAACAATAACGGGCCCAACCCAACATATATGCTTCGAGCCAGCCCACACATTCGATCCCAACCCATATCATATATAATCGGGACCAGCTCATAGAAATAGGCCCAGTCCATAACATACATAATCAAGCCCAACCCATAACATACATAGTCGGGCGTGACCTATATGATTAAGCCCAACCCATAACATACCTACACATACAAGAGTCATAAAGACAAATAGCATCCTACAAACATAATGCAGTGGGTCGATATTGGTTCCTCCGACCCACGAGTACAATGAAGAGACTAATATCAATCAGTAAACGAACAAATCACATAACATACACACGAGCTGTCAGTACTAAATCCCTCGTACTAAACATATCCAAAACCAAACCTTAATTAAAAATCAAGGTGGTACAACATATTCAGAGGTCCTAATTCAATTTCCTTTTTCCTAGGGTAAAATACAATTTTACCATTCCGGGACTAGACCCCACCCATCTTGACCAAAAGTCCAAATTTGACTATTTACCCTTTCACATTCTATTCCTTGCGAACACAATGCTTTACGCGCTACGTAGAGCCTCAAATAGAAGGATTGGGGAATCATCCATCTACGCTGGGCGTAGCAAATCTTACACTCTACGTAAATAGCCATCTAAGCCTCGCGTAAAGCCATAATTCCCAAAAAAACATAAATAATAAAAGCAAATGTTCCTGAGGAACATGTGTTACAACTATTGAGTGTGCAGGCTCCAAACTATCTGGCGGAAACCTCAGGTCGAAAGGTCTAGAAGCACTCCTCCATCATCTCAACGATTCCTTCCTTGATTGTCTCGAACATCACATGGGTTGCATTAAGGATACCTCATGTAATCTCCGACGTTATGAACTCACGTAATCCTTCATTGATTGGTTCGTCACCATAGTTCTTTGGGGTGAAAGAACCTATTACTGACATGTATTATGCCCAGATGAAGACCTTCTAGCCTGAGGGGTCGAAGGTGAGATTCGCAGCAGGGTGTTTGAAAGCACATTACCCCGAGTTATTTGCAGCAGCAAACTTCGAGGACGAAGTCTGATTCAAGTGGGGGAGAGTTGTAACACCCGTTCCTCAAGTACATTTCCTTACATTATTGAATTTTATTTTTTTGGGGGGAGTAATGGCTCTAAACGGGGTGTGGATGGCTAGATATGCATGGCTTAAAATAGGTTACGCCCAACGTAGCTGGATGATTCCCCGATCCTTCTAGTTGAGGCTCTACGCAACACGTATAGTACGGTGTTCGCAAGGCTTAGCACCAAAAAGGATAAATGGTCAATTTTGGACTTTTGTTCAAGATGGGTGGGGTCTAGTCTTGTAAGGGTAAAATGGTCTTTTACCCTAGGAAAAAGGAAGTGTAATTAGGACCCCTGAATATGGTTTACCACCTTAATTGTTAATTAGGGTTTGGTTTTGGATATGTTTACTAGGAAGGATTTAGCACTGGCAACTCTTGTGTGTGTGTGTGTGATCTATTCATTTACCGATCGAGGTGAGTCTCTTCACTATACTCGTGGGTCGAAGGCACGATGCCGACCCACTGGATTATGTTTGTAGGATGCTAGCTGTCTTTGTGACTCTTGCATGTGTATGTATGATATGGGCTAGGCCCGATCATATGGGTTGGGCCCGATTATGTATGTTATGGTTTGGGCCTGATTATATGGGTTTGGCCTGATTCTATACGTTATAAGTTGGGCCCGATTATGTATGATATGGGTTGGGCCCGAATCCGTGGTCTGGACCCAAAGCACGTATATTGGGTTGGCCCGTTCTTGTTTGATATATAGTATTTTAGGGGAACTCACTAAGCTTTGTGCTTATGATTTCATGTTTATATTCACAGGTACATCTGGTTCCAAGGGGAAGAGCTCGACATGATTGCATCGCCTCCACCAGTGTTCCACATCTCATGATTTGTTTTGTACTCAGATAACTAATTGTTATGTTTTTCGTATGCTTAATTTAGGATTTGGAATGAATGAATGGTTGTTTTGGATTAACTTAAAAAAAATTACTTTGTATATTTGGGACGTTATAGTTTAAGTAGTCATGGTCTTTTATTTAATTTTTAATTATTGTTTTCACTTCACGTTTGGTTTATTTTTATAGCGTAGGCACACCGGTGCACGCATACAAGACATAGCAGACACTCTTTATAACTTGCGTTTGATGTAGAAATTTGAACGAACGACTCACTTCAATCGGGTCGCCATAAGAAACATCATTAGTATGAGTATAGATAATGTAGTTGTTGCTAGATAGAAATCCCGATGCATTGGTAAATATCCTCGTGAGATTTCCTCTAATGACCATGCAAGAAATCACGCTTCTTAGATATCGGATGAGTAAATTGAAAATAATTGCTTAGGGTGCGTTTGGTTGTGGAAAACTGTTTTTATTTTCTACGAAAATGTTTTCAGAAAATAGAGTTGAGTTTTCATTTTCAATTTTCAATGAAAATTTTTTAAAACGTTTTTGGTTGGAATAGGTGGAGATTTCATTTTTCGTCTTAGAAATTTGGAAAACTTTGGAAAACTGTAAAAATCACTTTTCTAATTTACACACAATTTGGAAAACTGAAAATTTTCTTTTTCTTAAAAAACTTTGGAAAATTGAAAGAACCAAACACGTTTTCAAAATTTCCATTTTCTAGGAAAATTTTCCTGGAAAACTGGAAAATTTTCCACAACCAAACACACCCTTAATGTTCCACCTTTATTGATCTTACCTTGAAGCCATGTATCTGAAGGTATTTATAGGCCCATTTTTATTTTAGGCTATAAGGTTTTATCTAGTCTTCCTTATTACTTGGATAATAGGGAGCTTCCTCATGTGTAACGTTTTCATATTTTATTGCTTCCGATCTTGTTTTTTGTCTGAGTCCAAGGATATGTTTCGTATGTTACTTTTTTATTTATCGTGCTTTGGTATTTTCGTGTGAGTTTGGTTTTGATCAGCTGTGTTTTGTTGATATATGGTTCGAGATACGATTGGACGGATCCAGATCCATTTATGATGGGTTATACTTGTGTCTAGTAGGTTTTCCAGGTCGTCTTGGTGGATGTAGGTCAGTAATGGGCTTAGTTAATTAACCGGCCTATATAAACCATTAAGCCCCCAGTCTGAAGGGTCAAAGAATGGCATGAAATTGTTTTTCCATTCAGACTTTAAGATCTTCTTCAGCTAACGAATCGTCTTGCGCATGGTGTATACATGATTGCATTAAAGGCCTACACCGTCAGCGAGTTACATCCGTTTATTTGATTACATTGGATAACTAATGCTTTAACTCGTCGTCATCATCATTTAACGGGTAAGCGTTATTTTAGAAACTTCCATTTCTTTATCTTCCTTTTCCTTTCACATCATTTCTGGCATGTCTTGTAGCAGGTCATCCATTCATTCCGAAGTAGACAACGTTGCTCGATCTGAACATTCATTAAAATTATCTTTTGTAAGGTCATGGTGTTAGTCTTTCAACCTTCTCCTCATGCGTTCGTGATGCTTCTGATTGTAAAGTTGGATTATACCATAGGCACCTTGTGTTTGGTTTAAGGCGTCCTCCTTCGTCATTCTTTCTATAGGTTATGTGTCTTTATAGGATTCACCATTTGCAACTTTTTCCAAATGTTTTGTCTAAGATCCTTACTTCTAAATCTTTTTGTGTATCCTTCCATATTCCGTTGAACATCCTATTATTGAGATATTTTTATCGGTTGAAGAAATATGGCTATTGGTACTCCTTCACTATTCATCATTTTCCACTCTCCCCTGATCTTTATGGAACAAATGGCGGGTTGAAAAGCACGTTTTTTCGGTAGATGCACATAACTTTTGTATTCCCTTCAAAGATGGACTAATGCCTCGGTTGTATGATTTGGTATCTCTGTCTGCAGAGTCGTTTGAATAGATACCATTATTTTCTTGTTTTCTGTATAAACAGGTCTTTTCTTCCTGAAGTTGTATTTGCATTGTGCCATATGAACCCAATTTGGAAAGATCGAGGTCAACTTCCATCTTTATTAGTTTGTCAACTTGGTCTGTAATTAATGACACCTTTTTCCTGATTTAGTAAAATCTTCTTGTTTCATGTTTATGTATCCACCTGATATAAATGTTGTTCTTTTTGTTTTCTCTTTGTTCTTTAATTGTTTTAAACAGTAGCAAATTCGCTTTTAACTTGACTTCATATTTTTCTGGTGACATATCTCTACATTTGCAACTTTTTCCAAATGTTTTGTCTAAGATCCTTACTTCTAAATCTTTTTGTGTATCCTTCCATATTCCGTTGAACATCCTATTATTGAGATATTTTTATCGGTTGAAGAAATATGGCTATTGGTACTCCTTCACTATTCATCATTTTCCACTCTCCCCTGATCTTTATGGAACAAATGGCGGGTTGAAAAGCACGTTTTTTCGGTAGATGCACATAACTTTTGTATTCCCTTCAAAGATGGACTAATGCCTCGGTTATATGATTTGGTATCTCTGTCTGCAGAGTCGTTTGAATAGATACCATTATTTTCTTGTTTTCTGTATAAACAGGTCTTTTCTTCCTGAAGTTGTATTTGCATTGTGCCATATGAACCCAATTTGGAAAGATCGAGGTCAACTTCCATCTTTATTAGTTTGTCAACTTGGTCTGTAATTAATGACACCTTTTTCCTGATTTAGTAAAATCTTCTTGTTTCATGTTTATGTATCCACCTGATATAAATGTTGTTCTTTTTGTTTTCTCTTTGTTCTTTAATTGTTTTAAACAGTAGCAAATTCGCTTTTAACTTGACTTCATATTTTTCTGGTGACATATCTCTACATTCCATTATGTTGGAGGATGTAGTTCCGGATAAGGTCTTGGATCCATCATATGTTTTACCTGAGTCGCCTTTGAGCTTGACGGGCTTCAGGTCAGACGCATTCTCCATTGATCAACTTTTAGGGGATCCATGCTCTTCCATTAATGCTCTACCCCTTGCATATTCCATTGGTTATGTGGATCCTAGTCCCTCTTGTATCTCTCCTCTGACTCATAAATGCAAACGATCATTAACACATGATCCGTTTGAACACTTTTTATGTGAGGTTTCAAGGACTCCTCTCTGTATGTTGTCCTTATCATCTGGCCATCCCCCTCCTGTTTCTGTTGGTATATATGATTGGATATGTTGTTGTGGCTTCTACTATATTCACTATTTGTACTTTATTTTACTATTTTATTTGTTATGTGTAGAGGGCTGTGCTTCATTTATTCTCTTTCAAGAAGAGTTGGATGAGGCTTGCCGAGATATTGCTCGTGCCGAGACCATCATATCAACTGTGCTTTGTGTGGATTTTAAGTTCTTTGACAGGCCGCTAACTTTGCATGATCGTTATCTTTCTAATGAAGTGAATTTAAGAGCAGCTAAAGGTATGAAATTGGATGGGGAGGGAATATTTTTGAAAGCTGGTGGTATGCATGCCGAACTGTCTGTTCGGTATTGTGTCGCGTCAGAAAATATTTTTACGTTAGCGAACCAGCGATCACTTTTAGAGTCTAATTATGAAGCATGCCTCCGGGAGAATGATATTTATCGTGCTCAAATTGCAGCCAAGTGTTTTTGAATCCTGAAGCTTGGGTTGGTTATGCTCTTTAGTTTTGTAGCAAGTGCTTGTTTCAAAGCTGCTTGTGGGTGTAACCAACTCTTTTCATATTACCTTGCCTTGTATTTTTCCCCTCACTCTTTCTATTGGACGCATAAGACCTTGTGGGTAGTTCAAATTCTCTGTTTTGCATATATATCGGTATGATGCTAAATATTAGCGATCATGGTTGTGTTTTCCATGATATAGCATGTGTCGAGACCATGCTATATGCTTGTTGGGATGTAATTTGTCTTGTTAACATGAGACTGATCATGATGTTCATGCAATGGTATGACTTGCGTCAAGACCATTCTATAAGTTTTCCAGGATGTCATTTGTCTCGTATGCATGATAATGATCATGATGCTTATGCAATGGTAAGACTTGTGTCGAGACCATGCTATATGTTTACCGCGATTTCATTTGTCTCGTATAGATGACAATGATCATGATGTTTAGGAAATGGTATGTCTTGTATCGAGAGCATGTTATATGTTTACCAAGATGTCGTTTGTCCTCTTTGCATGAGAATAATCATGATGTTTATGCAATGGTATGACTTCCGTCGAGACCATGCTATATGTTTACCGGGATGTCGTTTGTCCCGTATGCATGATAATGATCATGATGTTGAGGTAATGGTATGACTTGTGTCGAGACCATGTTATACATTTGTCGGGATGTCGTTTGTCCTGTATGCATGATAATGATCATAATGCTTAGGCAATGGCGTGACTTGCGTCGAGACCATACTATATGTTTACCGGGATGTCATTTTTCCTGTTTGCATGATAATGATCGTGATGCTTATGAAATGGTATGATTTGCGTCGAGACCATGCTATATATTTACCAGGACGTCGTTTTTCCCATTTACATGATAATGGTAATGATGTTTAGGCAAAGGTATGACTTGCTTCGAGACCATGTTATATGTTTACAAGGATGTCGTTTGTCCCGGTTTTCTTGTAAATTTGTGTTGAGCTTTGTTTTGACTTCTTTGTTATCACACTTTTACTTTAGTTAGCATTTTCTTTGCCTTCATATTCATTTACAGATAGAATTTCCTCAAATTTTTGACATGCCATGAACTCAGTATTGTCTCTTCATCCAATGCTTTTAAGATGTATGACCCATGTCTATTTACTTTTTGGATTCTTTATGGGCCTTCCCATATTGGTCTTAGTTTACACTTCGGTTTTTGTCTACTCAACTCGTTGTTTCATAGTAATTGTTCTCCTATTTTGAAAATTTTGCCTTTAACACAATGGTTATAGTAGTTTTTAGTTTTTTTTATAGTCTGCTTTCCATATTTCCGCTACCTCCCTTCTCTCCATGGATACGTCTAGGTTGGTTAGTAATCATATGTCGTTGTCTGTCGCATCAAATTTTGTTGTTTGTTTTGTTAGGACGGTCAGTTCTATTGGTAAACTGCCTCTCATCCATACACCAGGCTAAAAGGTGTTTCCTTCGTTGAGGTACGTGATGTCGTCATGTATGCCAATAGTACACTTGGCAATTCATCCACCTATCATCCTTTGGTTGTGTCTAGCTGCGTTTACAAGTCATGGGTTGTTGTTAGATTCGTAACCTCCTTTTGAACGTTCGCTTCTAGGTGTGCCATTGAGATAAATTTGTGGTTTATCCAGATATCTTCACGCTAACGAGTGTATGGGGTACCCCAAACTGACATATGATTTGCTTTCAAAAGAATTGTATGATGCTTTGTCCGGTTATTTTCGATAGCGGGTCTGCTTCAATCCATTTTGTGTTGTTTAATGCTAAGACCAGAAGCTTCACTTTTCCTGGTGCCTCAGAGAACGACTGTACTAAGTCAGTGCCCCCATTGGGTTAAAGGCCAAGGGCTATTAATGCTAATCATGGGAGTGGCCGACTTCCTTCGTACTGATTCATGTTTTTCGCACTTTGCACATTTTTATATAATGCCATCCATATCTTGATATATGGTCGGCCAATAGTATCCTACTCTTGTTATCCTTTACATAATGGTTCTCGCTCCCTCGTGTGCTCCCGCAATGCCTCTGTGCATTTTAGTTATGACATATTTGGCCCCCTTCATGTTAACGCATTGTAACTGAGGTGATAAGTAACCTCGTTTGTACAGAACTCCATTTTGTATTACAAAAGAAGGTGATTTGATTCTTAGCTTCTGGGATTGCTTGTCGTCTTGTGGTAAGTTACCATCCGAAAAATATTTCATGATCGGTTTTTCCCAATAACTTGATTCTTCGATAATCGACACCCTTGGTGGTTATTCTATTACCTTAGCTCGTACTACTTCTATTAACACTTTTTTGGTTAGGTGCGAGAACATTGAAAGATGCTAGCTTGCTCAGCACATCTGCTCGTTTATTTTTAAATTGCTTTGTCACCGCCTTTACCTTATCTAAATATTGCATGAGATTTCTTCATCAGGTTTCATATAAACCATCCTATCTTGATAGCCAATTGTAACCCCGCAATAAGTGCTTCGTATTCATATTCATTATTTGAAGTAGAAAAGTTGAATCATAGGGCATATGATATTTCCTCCCCTGTTAAGCTAGTTAGTATCAGGTTGGCTTATACCCCTTCCACACAAGAACATATGTATGTGTGTAATGTCCATTCTTCTTTTTGGGCATTTTATGTGTCTTTATTCTTGACATATAGTCTGCCTATTGTTGATATTTCTCCGTTAGTTGTTATTTTTGTTATAAAATCTGCAAGTGCTTGTGCTTTAATGCTAATTCGGGGTATGAAATTAATCTTACGTCCACCCGGTTCCATGGCCCATTTAGCTTATTTCCCAGAATTTTCTAGCTTTAATAACACCAGCTGCAATGGAGCATTGGTTAGGACTTCAATTGCGTGTGCTAGGAAGTACCTCCTTAATCGTCTAGCAACATTTACTAAGGACAATGAGGACTTCTCTATGTATGAGTATCCTATTTCTGCTCCTTGTAATATACGGTTGACAAACTATATAGGCACTTGTTATCTTCTCTATTGGATACTAATATCGCGCTTGCTGTCGACCTTGATGTTGCTAGATAAATTGTCAAACTTCTCCTGAGATTGTTGACGTTAAGGTGGGTAATTCCATCAATGTTAGTTTGAGTTTCTTAAAGGCTCTCTCTGCATCCTCCTTCAATCGAAAATTCTTTTTATCCAATACACTTTTTATAGTTTTATAGAGTGGTAACGTTTTCTATACTGTTTTTGATAAAAAAAAACGTCCTAATGCTACTAGTTTACCATTTAGCGCTTGCATTTCCTTCACTGTCTTCGGTGGTCATAGTTCTAGTAGAGATTCTACTTCTTTGTATTTACTTTTATCCCTACCCTTGTAATCACATGACCAAAGAATTTTCCTTGTTCTGCTCCGAACAAACACTTCTTTGGGTTCAATTTCATGTCACGACCCTTAGGTTTGCAAAAGTTTTTGCGATGTCCCATAGGAAGTAGTTGTCATTTCTACTTTTGATGAACATGTTATCAACATATACCTCCATGTTTCAACCGAATTGCCACTTAAATACTTTGTATGCTAATCTCTGATATGTCGCTTGTAACAACCATAAAATTTCATAAAAACTTAAACTTTTTCAAACCGGCCAAAAATCATAATTGTTTACATTATAGTTTTCAAAACATGTTTAACATCAGAGTTTTTCCAAAATCACAAAACATGACATGAGGAGGTGCACGATCAAGCCTTTTCTTTGCCACGATCATCTGAGGTACTTGAAACATAATCCAAAATTGTAAGACCAAATCTTAATGAGTTCTCCCAAAATACCAATACACAAACAAATATCACAAATATAATAACAGCATGCAATGGGTCTACATCTAACATATTGGATTACCCATGAGCCCACAACATAAGTTTGGCTTGCCCTTGGCCTACAACTTATGTATAGCTTGCTCCCCAACCTGATCGGTACTCAGGCTGAATACCACTAAGCCCTCAGTATGAGTCTGGCATGGCCTTCTCGGCCCTCAGCTCGTATCTGGAATGCTCATGAGCCGTCAGTATGAGTCTGGCATGCCCTCCCCGACCCTCACCTCATATCTGGCTTGCTCCAGGGTTTGTTGGCTACAGCACGGAGTAGTACAACCTCAACCCCACCCACACAATATGTCGACATCTAACAGATAATATCATATACAGATAAACAGACAGTATCACAGGTAGTCCTACAGATCTACCAGACTAGCATATCAAAAATAGCATGCATATCTATTCCACACTCAGAATATCAACAATATCAGGTTATCAAACCAATGGGCTGGCCTTGGTGCCTTCGACCCGAAAGTACGGTAAGGAAAACTCACCTCACAAGCTGAACAAAACTTATAAGGACCGATTCCGAATCTCAGCTCGCTACTCAATTCCTACATCCACCAAGTGACCAATTCCATCAAAATCCCAACAATACCCAAAATACCCTCAAAAGTCAAACTTGGTCAAACCATGTCAAACATGGTCAAACTCCATAAATCCACTGAGTCAACCCAACCGAGCTAACTCCAAATTGGTTGTTTTATGTGAGTACGCGGGGCGTACTCCGGAGGTACACTCAGCATACGTAAGCCTCACATTAACTGATTACCGGGGGATCCGAGCGAGTACGCAGGGTATACTCCCTTATATGCGGGGCGTAACCTCGCAACTCCATTTTCTTTATTAAGTACTTAATGACTCCAGCAGTTAATCTACCACTTCAAATCCAAGGTCCAGAGGCATACTACAGTCATAAAGTTTCCAACTTTATGACTGTACACATCCATAAAGTCCTTAACCCAAGGTCTTAATCCATTAAGACCTTCTACAAGAAGCATGGAGCCAAACTAGCTAAAGAGACCTCATTTTTATGGCTAAGAACCCTTCCTAGGGTCTAGAAGGACAGCTCAAAATGTCCAACACCAAACATGCATAGAAATTGGACTTTTGGACAAGAAGAACAACATAAA